GGTCCTCTGGAAATACTGCGATGTTTTGTATATTTTTGTACGAGACTACAATTGTGTTAGTGGGGGTTTTGTTGTTTGGATAATGACATCTCATTTTCTGTTTCTTTTTTTTTAATGTGTAATTTAAAGAAGCTCTGTGTTCAAACTAGCTAAATTTCTGTATTGTTATTCTAGTGGGAGGGCTGTGTCAGAACTTCATTGTTTTGATAGTTAATAACTTCCACCTGATTTCTGATGTAAACTTTTCCATGACCACTTCATACCTATTTTTACTTCTGCTACTATTGTCCATTAGTGGATATGGTTCTTGTTTTTCTAGAATTCACTTTTATGTTTTCATAGAAAGCAATCTTATCCTGGCTAAGAATTTTGCTGTGTATTTTAGCTTTCATTCACAGAACAGATTTTTCTGTTCATACTGTTTTGTGGGTTTCTTCTTATTGTTGTTTGCTTATTTGTTTGAGTTTTTACATTGACTTTTGATGTCAGTTTGATTTCATCTTCCTTTGCCTGAGCTTGAAGTATGGTACTCGGTATTCTTGCTGGGGTCTTGTACAACTATTTTCACTTGCTTCTGCTGGGAATACTTTGTTTCTTGCATCCTAGGCCTACAAACAACTTTTTGAAGTCTTCATACTTTTTGACTCATTTGTAAGGTGATAGGGTAGCCACTCATGTTTGTCCTTATTTTTACTGGAGAGTTTGTTTTTATTAATCCCTCCTGCTGTTGTCTACCTCGATGGCAAGACCCTCAAGGTCTTGCTGTTGTCTGCTGTTAAATTGCAGGCCGTTATCAGTGCCCACTCAAGGTCATTCAGTTCTTTTTGTATGATGTTTCAATTCTTTTCTGCATATATGGTGTTGCTTGGTGTTATTGGGAAATTCCATTAGCAGGCCTTTTAGGTATGAGATTAGTTGAGGAAAATTCTAAAGCTTTGACCAAAGACTCCTTCTTTAGGAACTCTATTAGTACCCTTCTGATCTGGTAGCTTTCCATTCAGCATAACCCACTGTTTGCCATCTACTTATCTGGTTCCTTTGCTGTCCTTTTCATCTTAACTGATGTAGCACAGTATCAAAAGTCCATACCCTAATATGACACAGTATGAAAAGTCCATATAAACTTCCCGCATTTCCTTTCTCTAGAAAAATGAACTGTCTTGTCCAAGAAAGATGTCAAGTGAGTTTGGCACAATCTACCTCTGGTGAGCCCATGTGATATCTTTGATGATCATCTGTTTTCTTCTTTGTCTTTGAATTTTGCAAGAAAGAATAATTATTCTCAGTAGCATGCTGGCTTTTCATCAGTCATAGGCCTGACGTATTCCTGATTGCTTTCTTTCTCCTTGTAAATATAGGCACTGTGTTTGCTCTTTTTCACTTTTGAGTTTATAGATTTATTAAAAATCATTTCTGCTGGATCTTTGATCTTCTGTGCCCATTCTTTCAGAACATGGGGATGAGAGTGATCCAGATACTGCTCTCTGAATGTATTTTTCAGCTCCTGATTTCTGCTTCCAGCTTAGTAGTTTGTCCTATATTTTAATGAGCTTGTGCAAGTTCGGTTTTTTACATTTGAAGAGATATTAAAGTGATTCTTACAGAATCACAGAATGGTTGAGGTAAAAATTTTTCATCAGATTGGACAAGAAATGAGATTTTGACACCCACAATGTCAAATTACCACCACCTTAGATTGTTAAAGGCTGTTTCATACACAGTGTGTGAAATATAAAGCTTTGCATGTAAATTGTGTAAAATGTAGTACTTAATTAATTTCATTGGCATAAACATCTCTCTCCATTTAAAAAAAATAATTAGGAAAGAAAGCTTTCCTCACTTGAGACATAGTTTTAATTAACTCATGAGTCTTGTGCCATTCCTGTCCATATTGTTTAGTTCAGTTCTGTCCATATTATCTAGTTCATGTTGCTATTCATTAGCTGTCTCAGTACTAATGGAAATACATGTTAAAGAATAGTCTCACTAAAGGCTGGTGGAGTGTCATGATGAATATTCCTGATTAGTGAATTTAATCTTTTTTCCTAGATCTAGAGGATCTGATCGTTAGTATGACTCCAGACTTCTGAATTTGGGTTTTATTGTTTGTCCCATTAGGAATCCTAGACTGAAGTAATAGAATATAAATTGTATATGTGATCTTCCCTGACTTGAACTTTTACTTTGTGCAAATGGGACAATAATGCTAAGTTAACAGTATGAAACTTTCTTAGGCTCACCTATCCACATCAAATCTCAGAATCCCCACTAATCTGTATTTGAAAAGAAAACAAGCTGAGGATGAACAAAAACAGTCAAAAATCGCATGTCCAAATTCAAAAGTTTATGTAAAATATTGAACTCTGCTCTACTGAACCTCGAACTAGAAACCCCAAACTCAGAACAAAGACTTTCAATGTATAACAGGTGCTCTCATTTCATGGCCAGCCCTTGCTCAAGCAGTTGCCTTCCCATCACTGGGGAAAAAGACACACATAAATGGAATTACCTTACCAGAGTTTGGAGAGACATAGTCTGCGTTCGTTGTCTTCGTGCTGTGGTGGAAGAAGCTACAGTGAAAAATGAGTCCTGCAAACAGCGAAGTGCTTTTGCAAGCATTTTGCCACCCTGAGAGAGAGAGGAAGCCCCAGGGCTCAGCAGAGCTGGCGACTACCTGGCACTGGGTCTGGCCTGTGTGGGGAGGGGTGGGAATGGTGGGGGCTGGCCGGGAGGGACGTGGGATAAAAGGGAAACACCAGGTAACCTCATAATGTGTTCAGGTGTCAGGTTCAGAAAGACAGCTCTCACTGCCTGTTCAGGCAACAAGCCAAGGTGCTGCTTGGTGCTGCGGGGTATAGAGGACGCCCTGCATACAATATCATTATACAGATTTCTGTAAGCTTTAAGAGAGATTCCAGCAAGAGGCACCATCATTTCCCAGCATAATACAACTGTCTTCAGAACAGCCTTTAGCTGATGTTTTTTTCTGTGTGCCTACAATAGTAAAACATCTAATATATGGTATTTCTTTGCTGAGAATACTCGTGCATTACTGAAATGAGAGGTTCAAATCCTCTTCTGAACCCTTTTCAAACAAATACAGCTTTCATCAAAACACTCAGTGATGTTTGTTTTCACAAATGGTTTCTCCACCTAAATTGAGCTGTTCTAAAACTATTTTGTTTAAAAAAATGAAACACAAACAAATAAAAACCCCAGGAAATCTACCCTCAGAAACTTTTTGTGATGAAAATTTTAAGTTACATTCATTAAAAACCTGAAAACTTTAGGGCTTGCCAAGTAATGTGATATTTGTCAAACATCAGGTTTTAAAATGCTGTATTCTAAAAAATTATGTCTGAAATGTTGTCAATTAGGAAAAAGAAGAAGCTGAAAAAGAACATTTGTACAACTTAAATGGTAGTGTCAGTAATGCTCCCTCGACAGGATTTTTCTCGCTGAATATTGGGTGGACTAAAGATGTGCTACCCTCATTTTATATATATGCATGAAATAAAGCCAGTTTTAAATACACAGTTTTGTCAAGACCACAGTTCACTTGTCATTCGGATGAGCTTTTTCTGAGACTCTGCTTTGTCTGCTTAAAGTGTGGGCTGTTGCCAGAAGAGGTGTTTGGGCTTCACTCCTCTTTTCCTGCTTAGTCCCATCCTCTTCCTTATGCTGGCACCTGGATTTGTGGGTGATGCTGTAAGCTGGCTCAGGAGACTGATTTGACTATAAATTAACCTGGCTAAGAAAGAAGACAAAAAAAGATGGGTTCTATTTTTTTCTTTTTTTCCAGTCAGGTCAGTTCCCTGTTCTATCTCACCATTTGGCTGTATAAATATTATCATTAGTGTTCTAAAATGGTACCGCAGCTTTCATCTGCACCCGCTGGTAATGGCAGATTAAATTGCCCATGTAAATACAGCCTGGGGAGATATCGCTGCTGCAAATTGCCGTGTACTGTAGAGGCACCTGGACTAGTGACGAGTGGACTATTTTGGATATCTTGCTTCTCAGCAGTCCGCTAGGAGGAAGGGAGAGCACAGGCTGTGCTCCTTTTCATCACATGTCTGGGAGGCTGATGATACCAGAGAGAGAATGAAAGAAACTACAACTGTCTAAAGAGCCATCTAGTTCCTGTGGAGGCCGAGTAAACTCATCAGGCATTTTTGTTGTATCTGAACAGATAGAGGAAAATATTATATGGGCTGTATGCTGTGTGAACCCATATTGCCTTTATTATTTTTAACAGAAAATTTGAAGACAGAAGCACATGGTGATCCATAGTAAGTTTCAAGGTTTGTTGGTCCAAAAATGTTTTAATCCTCCTCTGTTTTGGTTACTCTGGAGTCATGTTAATACTGCAGTACTGCTCTCATAACTTCAAGTCATGAATCAACTTCCTTGAGACACTTAAGTTAAAAAAAAATGGCTCTCTGTACTTTTAGTCTTTGTGATGTGACTGTCACTTGTTTCTTGGATGCTTTTCCCTTTAGTAAAGATGTTTGCTTACAATGTCTTGTCATTAGGAATCAGAATTAACATGATTATAATGGGTAAACAGCTTTGGAGCTGGTGTTTTAGAGGTTTCCAAAATGTTTCAGAAACACTCCTTTAGTTCACCAGTCAGATGCATTAGTTTAGTTCTGAATGTGAATGAAGAGTAAAAATCTGTGGGTTGTTAGTAACAGGTATGAAACAAGCCAGTTTTCCTGTATCAGCCCAGTCTGATGACCTGCATGACCAGTGACTTCCCACCCAAAGCTCCCAGCGCAGCCTGTCTGGCCTCTTACCCTGTCCTCCAGGGAAGGTAACATTTTCCATTTTTACTTTGTTTTTCACGTATTTTTCACCTCTGTCCTTGTCAGAAAGGTCCTGCTCAGCCTTTCACCTGTATTCGCAGGTGTCCTTTGAACAGGTAAATAACCCAGAGCTCCCAATAAGTTTCAGGGCTTTGTCTAGTATGTGGTATTTCTTTCTAAGACTTTTCCACGATGGCAGTAACGTGCAACGACCTGCTGAAAATGCAAAGGAAGGAGCTTTCCCATGTCACAGATCCAGTGATACGGAACTATACACAGGCTATAAAACTTCTCTTCAATGACTCTTGGGGGTATGCAGAATAAGATACCTATTGTACATCAGAAAATATCCGGGAATGGTAATAGATTAATGGCCTCAGAGTAGTTCTCGGAGACTGCTTCTAAATCAGATGATACAGTCGCGCTGGAGAGACCAAGGTCTGTGTCAGGGAAAGCAGGATAGGAAGTTTTAATGACCCTTTCACTGCCTTGAAGTCATTGTCTAATATTAGCCCTGTCAGCGCCTGGCGCTTTGTCAGTTGGAGCACAGGAGGAGGTGGTTACCAGCCAGGAGAATGTGACCAAGGCTTTTAAATACTGTTGCTTGGAAAGTCCTATTAATGGCCGCGTATAGGATCGATGCGCAATAATTCTTTCAAGCGGCATCTTTTTAAAAGCCTTTAGCAAGCTGTCATTGTCTTCTCCCTCCCCCCCAGTTAGAAAGCCGCGTTAGTCAGGAGAAATCACACGGTCCTGGGAAGTTTCAAACTGCATCCGCTGATGCTGTCAGGAAAATGCTCCTGTGCGGGGGCACAGGTGCAATTACACTGACGGCTGCTTCTCATCCTCGGCTCGGGTCATCCTGGAGGGACAAGCAGAAAGAAATGGTGGGGCGGGCGAGATCCTGTCGGGTGCATGGGAGCAGTACCGAAGAGAAAAATGGAATACCCTCTTCCAGGAGACGAAGATCGCGCTGTCTGTGAGTGCTAGCTCAACATCTTCAAATCTGTGCTTTGAGAGAGTGTGTGTGGCGGGGAGATTTCAACACTGTTTATTTTGTTCTGAGTTTAGCCAACTGTTCGGCATATCTTGGCCTTTGCTGTCACTGTGATGGAAATGTTTATTTCTCTTTTAAATGATAGTTCATAGCTTGTAGTTGGTTTGGAGGTGGTTTAAGCTCCCACAGTAGTTTTGGCACATTAGAAACTTCAGCTCTGGAAAAATATATCTGTATTTTAAGATGAGATCTTGAAACTTCTTATTTTGTACAGTGGCATTAAGTGTTACTTTTAATGTTAATATGTTCCATTAGTTATGGCTGAAAACTAGAGCAGGAGTTTAGTAGAGAGTAAATTTTATCATAGTAGAGAACATTGGGTGTGGGAAGCCCCCTTCTCTAATGGAGAAATCCTGAGTCACTTACTTCACGATGCATCAGCAAAAATAATTTGGGTGTGGCTTTGATTTTCAGCTGCTGTTGTAACAGGACTGAAAGCCAACAGTGAATTGATCTGATTTGTGATTGTTTTTCTCGGAATACGCACAAAATGCCTCACATATTAAAGTGCAATATCTGTGCTTGCAAGGCTGCAATAGATGTACTTGAGCAGATATCTATGAAAAGCTCTTTTCTGAAGCTAGGGAATTTGCTACAACAACCACTCCATCACGTAGCAATAGGCAATATTATATATATTTGATTGTCTTTTAATATTTGGCTCAGGTTTGATTTTTTTGGTATTTATTTACTGTTGGCTTAGATTTGCTAACACTGTTAGGTGATATTTTTCCCCAACCAGGTCAGTGCTGTATGACAAGTGGCATTAAAATAGGCAATGGGAAAGGGTTAAAGAGCAAAACTAATGTAGTGTTTTCAGTTAGTCCTGTTTTAAATTAATCCTTAATCCTGCACAATGTATCTTGGGTTTAGAATGAGATTCAACCACTTTAAACAATGAAAAAAGGAGAGTTGTAATTAAACACAAATTCATGAGTGAAATAATTTTTAGTAGTATGGATCTAAAATAAATATGTTCAGGGAGTTATGAATGAGGAGAAAAGGATTTTCTTTCTTGATTCTGGAAATGAGAACTTACATAAACCTGTACTATACTATAAATGTCTTGTTAAAACTGAATGGCTTTGCAGTATGACTGTAGTGAATTAGAAAAGTCATAGGAAGATAATTGGGTTTTTCATTGTCAGTCTCTGATCGGTCCCCAGAAAACCCTAATTCTCAAAATTTTCAAAAAGTGGTTTCCTACTCAGTACATCATCCGTCTCTGACTACCTTGCTATAATCTGTACGAAATACACCAAAGGATAATGACGTTTTGTTTTCTGTCTGTCCTGGAACTGTTTTGCATTTTCAGCACATGCTTCAGACACGTAGCATAATAAAAAAAATGCCCTGGCTGTAAATATAATGCCTGTCTCTTGTATCTAAGTGATCTCAGAGAGTGACTTAGAAGAAGAAACTTGGAAAAAACTTCAGAAATAAGTACAGCATATTGCTGGAAAACCCTGTGGTGGTTATTCTCACTTACTTTCTATAGTACTTCCCATCAGTAACTGGTAGTATGATGGTAACATAAGAATAAGCTGAATTATTAATATTTTTTCTTCTCTGCTTTGTAAATGATTCATTACCATGTCATTCTAGCAGAGACAACTAGAAATGAATAAACAATCCTGACTGTCAAGCATGAATTTTAGTTATATTCTAGGTTGAGCGTAGTTGAAAGTAAAGATTCAGATACAGGTGGAAATAGAGTCCTGTAGAATACTATGATGCAGTATTAATAGGGAGAGATTTTATACTTTAAATTTCTTTTTCATGCTGTCCATTGAAACAACCTTGCTGATCCTTTACATCACATTCTAACATAAAAGCTTTCTCTCAAGTCTAAAGTGTGTATTTTCAAAACTACAACCTATTAGTACTTACAAGGATAAACTTTCTGTGCCCTAAATTTATTAAACTAAAAGTGCAGTATCTGTAATATATGCAGAAGTGTAAAAGCTGGACTTTTGAAAAAGGAAATGCATGAATGTTGTAAAGACATTAGGAGGAAAAAATGCAAATCCTTCCTGTATTCCTCAACCAAGAAGTAGATTCCTTTTTTAATATTGTCATGGCATTTGCAGGTGAAAACAGCTGAGCCTGACAATACTGATGAATGACAGCACGTACTGAAATCAAGGAACTTTTCTCACAGTTAGAAGTGCACATGGAACTATACGTGTGTATCTGTGATTTTTTTTTATGGGAGAGAAGGCTTTTAGGAGCAAAAGTTTTGGGTAAGGGTGTAAGCTACAATTTCAGAGCTATAATTTGTGGGACATCAGACACATTATGAGATTTAATTATTGCTTTTAAAGCTCTGTGAAGTTGAAAAATGCTTTGTAAGCATTAAGTATAATACTTCTGCCTCTTGTATTCAAACAAGCAGTACATAGAATAGGATATTTTAATGGTATATTGCAGTTCCATAGTTGCATAATTAATAATGTTCTGATTCTTTGATAATATTGGAACTTCTGTGTGAATGCTCACATACATAAAATCTACTCTTCAACTTCTAAAAATTCCTTTACTGTATTTTCTAGTTGTTACTTACATATGTCGTAGGAGAAATTTGCTATAGAATGTTGGAGACATCCTCAGTGAGTTACACACACCGCACAGCTTTACAAGTGACAGGCTTGTCAGTATCTTTTAAAGCTGGGCAGTATCTAGGAGGTGAAATATAATATATAGATAATAGTGTGGGTTTTTATCTTAGCATGGGCTAATGTATGTATGTTATCAGTGATGTTTCTAATAGGAGTCTTCAAGTTTTCTGAGCAAAATGCAAAGCTGTGCTTGTGTGCATAGTGGAAAAAAAACTATGATCACCTCGATAAGGTTCTTAATAATCTAATTTCACAAGGGCTTCAAGTCACTTTTTATTCAGTGCTTTCTTTACACCCATCTTATGTGCTACTGATGAATTCAGAAAGAGGAACAGTGGTGGTTTTTAAGAACCCAGGTTTTTGGACAACAGTTTTCATTGCAGCATGAAGGACTTTAGCCACAGCATAGTTCTTGGTTATTTAAATTAATGAAAACTGAGTTTTTCCAATGTGCACTTAAATTTCACTTAAATTCTTCTAGAAAAGAATGGAAAAGAGAAAGCATGTGGCATGAGAGAAATGTGGTAAAGGAGGATTGTCATAGTTCTGAGAAACTGCAAGTGGAGAACCCTTATCTATTTGAAGAAATGTGTGATAAACATGCAAATTAAATTTTAACCAATTATCATTTGCTAACTCAATAATCAGAAAACTGATTTCCAGTTCTGAGCAGTGATAAAAATTCCCCATCTACCCATAATGAGACTCTGTAAAAGCCTTCAAAAAGTTAATCAGGAGGAATTTATGTAAAACCTAGTAAGGTGCCTGTATTCCACCGTGTTTACAAGAAAAAATAAAATTATTCATCCTAGCTAGAGGGTGTAATTTCATTGACGTTTGGAGACATGTATTTTTTACTACTTCTATAGAATAGAAAATATACTAATTACAGCAAGATGGAAGGTTTTGATGTTGCAAATAACCAGTAAGAAAGAAGAATCAGGCTTGACATGGGTTGACCCCAGCCAGGAACTCAGCACCACACAGCAGCTTGCTCACTCCCCCCTGCCCCCAGTGGGGTGGGGATGGGAATCAGGGAAAAGTAAAACTCATAAGTTGAGGTAAGAATAGTTTAAAAGCTTTAACACAAAAAATGAAATTGTAAACAAGAAGACAGTAACAAAAAGAGAGAACAATAAAACCCAAGTGAAGCACAACACCCTTGCTTACCATCTGCTGACCAATGCTCAGCCAGCCCCTCAGCAGTGATCAACTCCTCCTAGCCAGTTCCTCCCAGTTTATATACTGGGCATGACGTCCTATGGTATGGGATATTCCTTTGGCTAGTTCAGGTCAGCTGTCCTGGCTGTGCTCCCTCCCAGCTTCTTGTGCACCTTCTTGCTTGCAGAGCATGGGAAACTGAAAAGTCCTTGACTTAGTATAGACAGTACTTAGCAACAACTAAAACATCAGCATGTTATCAACATTATTCTCATACTAAAACCCAAATACAGCACTGTACCAGCTACTAGGAAGAAAATTCACTGTGTTCCAACTGAAATCAGGACAGGCATTCTTAAATCCGTGCAATATTTCACTTAGTAAATGTAGCATTTGGATTTTTAACCAATTCAGCCTGTCGTCAGTGGACAGAGTCCATCTCTCCCCTCCTTCATGCAATTTTGTGAGGAAATGGAACCCATCTAAACAGCATTAGACTGGTTTTCTTGATCAGCTTTTAGAAAGTTATCTCATCATGGACCCCGAAGCAAGATGCACCGTGAGATGCTACTAGGAAAAACTCCTTGGTATGTCTGGGTTATTTTGCCACCTGTCTGTATGTAGGTGAGTACCAATAAAGCACCAGAACAGTCATGTGTCAAATGGCAGCTGGCCTTGCTTGTGACAAGTATGATCAAGATGATGGACAAGTCAAGATGATAATAGCCGAGAACCTAGATATGATTTCCTTGGAGTCCTACCTGGAGCAAACATCAAAACTGTGATTTTGAATAAAACACTCACCGTTCACCCACTGTGTGTCTACATGTCTTCATCTAAATAGGGAGAATTTGGGCTGGTTCTGACTGAAATCTCCATGCTACCCTAAAGCCTCTCTTGTGGGGATGTTCAGGTTGTTCCATGTGTGCTGGGAGTGTGCAGCCTGGCTCTGTGTGAAAATCATTTTAAGAAGACAAGGGTACACATACCCATTCATATCCTGAGTTTTGTCCTGACTTTCTTTAGTGAATTTATCAAGCGTTACAGCTGGTCCAGCCACTAAACAAAATTGTTCTATTTTAGCTCATTTAACAGTTTCTTAAACAGAGAATTATTGTAGTCTATTATGTTTATTCTAGTCTATTATGTTTTATTTTCCATTTTAAGTAAGTAACATAACTTATTTCCAGCCAGTCCAGAACAGCACATTGTTTAATTAGAGTTAGATGCATTTGAAAAAGTACTCAACTGTGGAGGACGGGTGCCTTCAAAAAGAAAGATCGGATTGAGTTGTCACGCTGGAAGAATTCCCACAAGGAAGTGAGTCATGAACCTCTCCTGGTGTTCTGCACAATCATCATTGTGGGAGAGGGGGATTGTCTGTACCTGTGAGTTGGTACAAACGTTTGAGTTTCAGGTAATGACTGGACACTGAGTCTGTTGTGAGTAACTCAAGCAGAACATACAAAAATACGAATCTGTATGCTTTAAATAGATAAGTGGGATCAAAACAGGACTTTGGTGATGGGGTTAAAACAATCCCTAGAGGTAACAAGTTACTATGTTCAGTTAGCATGCGGGATTGCTTCCAAGTTTTGTGGTCTGACAAGCAGTCTTTTGAGATTTGGCCGTGGGGATACGTGGTCGTAGCAGATGGGCCACCTTCACAACCCGCACCAGCAACTTCATAATAGTTGTATAATAATGTAAAAATTTGTAGTAGATGTTCTGTTGTTCCTGTGGACCTCCACAACTGTGCATTATTTACTGTAAATATTTTTTATTTACAGTATTTTTGTTATTGATACTGTAATTCTTAAAATGGTTTATGTTCTTCCTATGTTGGTTGTTACTGTTTACATACTAGAGTGAGATGTCAATACAATTTTGGGGAGATTTCCTTAAAAACAAAGTTTCTTTACGTGTCCTGAGTAGAACTGGAGTTAGCATAAATATCCTTTCCATCAAATCTATCCTAGATACTGCCATATATGTGGTTTTAAACTGAAAAATAAGTCAATCTAGATACCTGATGCAGATGACAACAAGGAATTTCAGATGTCTATGCAGATAATTACGTAAACATGTAAAAACTCACTCTGTGTTGATCAGAATTCCATACTTTATCTAAGAAGTTTTATTAAGGACTTTCTGTTGCATAGCAGCTGTGCCAGCAGCTTAAAAATTGGCTTGTTTTTTTTGGTATGTTTTGCTGTTGTTTTGCTTTTAAATAACTTTGATACTCCTCTGCCAGAAGTGTTAGTACCATCCTTGGAGAGAGCAGACGACTTTTTCTAATTTGTTTTTTTTTTCCATTTCTGTAAAACAATCTGTAGGTACCTAATCAATTTACACTGAAGCTTCATTTACTAAAGTTTGAAAAGTGCTCTAGTTTTAAAGTTTGTTTCAACAGAAGTAGTTCAAAGTATAATATATTCAATTTTATAAAATTTAGGAAAAGTGTCATTGTGTTCCAGAGTCACACAATAATATTTTAAAATATATTATGAAATACATAATTTATTTATTCAAAACATGTAAACTATAAGCTGAAGAATCTACAGGTAACCCAGAAAAAGCATTGCTGTGGGAAAAGTTGATGGGTTGCATGCTTACTTCTCATCACATTTTTTCAGTGTTTACAGTCTTGCATCCTCTTTTATTATGGTCAGGACAAAACTTAAGAGGAATATTTAAAGCAAAATCTTGGCTTCTTTGCTATTGACTGTGTTGGATTTTTTTCCTGTTGAATAGAATCATAGAATGGTTTGGCTCGGAAGGGACCTTCAAGGGCTCCAACCCGCCCTGCCACGGGCAGGGACACCTCCCAGCAGACCAGGTTGCTCAAAGCCCCTTGAACACTTCCAGGGAGGGGGAATCCACAATTTTTCTGGGCAACCTATGCCAGTGCCTCACAACCCTCATTGTACAAAAATTCTTCTTTATTTCTAATCTAAATCTATCCTCTCTTAGTGTAAAGCCATTACCCCCTGTTCTGTCACTACAGGCCTTGCTAAAAAGTCTGTCTCCCTCTTTCTTATAAGCACTGGCAGGCCACTATAAGGTCACCCTGGAGCCTTCTCCTCTCTAGACTGAGGATCCCCAACTCTCTCAGCCTGTCCTCATAGGGAAGGTGCTTCAGTGCCCTGATCATCTTTTTGGCCTCCTCTGCACCCACTTGAGCAGGTCCATGGCCTTTTTATGCTGAGGGCCTGAGAGCTGAACACAGCACTGCAGGTGGGGTCTCACAAGAACAGAGAGGGAAACTTGCCTCCCTCAGCCTGCTGGCCACACTTCTCTTGATGGAGCCCAGGATGTGACTGGCTTTCTGGGCTGCAGATGCACGTTGCTGGTTCATGTCATGTCCAGTTTTTCATCCCCTACTATTCCCAGTCCTTCTCCTTGGGGCTGCTCTCAATCCGTTCGTTGCCGGTTGTGTGGATGCTCTCTTCAGGGTTGTGTTTTGTGGGAAACGGGAAATGGGTTTTAACTTTTTTTTAAAATAATTTTTCTTTTTTTAACTCTCTTTCAGAATTCCCCACTCTACCAGTATCTGCAGGATTTGGGACACACAGATTTTGAAGTATGTTCATCTGTGTCGCAGAAGGCAGAGCAATGTGCAGCAGTGGAAAGCCAAAAAGAGCGAACTGTGCATGCTGCCCAGAAAGTGAGAGCTCTCTTCTTCCTATTTATCTTCTCAAAAGTGAACCACATTGTTACACAAATAGGCAAAATCAGAGGGGATAAAGATAAAATAATTTTTTAAAATTAAAAAAAACTGAAAACCAAACCAAACAAAAACCCCCAGTTGTCATGTCTTGTCTACAAATATATTTGGAAATGCATGTTTTCCAATATAGTTCGGAGTGTTTCTTTGCACTTATGTAAGCTAGGGAAGCAGGAGACTTTAATAATGAATTTTTTGATTGTTGTAAATTATCTTATTTACTGGATGTTATTATGTTAGCTTAGCATGACATTCTGGGAATAAAACCTGTAATTTTCCAGAACAGCATATTTGTAGTTCCCAGCCCTTCTCAGGCATTTGGTTGCTACATATTGCTTACTTTGTGACAAAACATTAAGAAAGCGTATTTCTGGGAGGCATAAATACAATAACCAATCTTAACGAGATGGTAGAACATGTGGATTTTTTAAAAACATTGTGGTTTTAAAATTAAGTTTGAGAATTTGGCCATTTAACACCTACTATCGTCTACACATTTTTGGTTTTCCTTCTTCGACATAAATGGTATTTTACTGTTACTGATAGTGTACAGGCAATGTGATTCAGATGAGGAGCTGTAGTTTGTGTGAGGAAATTCCTCTTTTGAGGCAGCTAATGTAACAAATATATTGAAAATTCCAGTAGTTGATTTGTCTCCTTAGCTTAGATGGAGCATGTAAGAAGTAGTTATTTTCTGCCTGATTCTTTCACTTCCACAGTGGAAAGTTCAATTTTCAGTGGACGTGCTCTGACGATATGCTAAGCCAGGAGGAAAACGAGGCTTCCATGTGGACTTCTCTGTCCTGGCCACTGCAGGCTGAGGTGGGCAGTGCCTCACAAGCAAGAACCCAAACCAAGCATTCATGGGTTGATGCCTTGCCTCTGAAGAATTAGCATTTCTTTCTCTTATCTCCCCACCATATATGGTAGCTTCCATCTTTGTGCACCTTGGGCACACAGACCTATTTTGCTCTGTGTAGGATCTTAGGAGGGGTAGAATTCAGAAGGGTCTAAATTGATGTGGATAATGTCAGTCACATTCTTCCTGATTTGGGGGGAAAAATGTGTGATTTTTGAAATGTTTGTGATAACATGGTATATTTGCAAGGACTGATATGCACAGTCTTTGAAGTGGAAATTTAGAAGTTGAAGTGCAAAGATTATTTGTCTAGCAATATTCAGAGAAGGATTGATGGGTTGTATTTTCATCTAGAGATATTCACTTCAGTTGCTCTCTGTATATACTGCATAAATTTCCTCACGCACTCATTAGTCCATTTGAGAAGGTGGCATAATAAAACAGGACACATTTTGCTTTGGTCTTCAGTCCTGCTGGCATCTATCTTCATGGATAGATCAGTCCTAGTTTGTGTTTACCTGTGCACTGCACACTTCACTTCACAGCCTCAGTCCCCAGTATCTGAGATTTGTAGTCCTTTGCCACATCTCTCTTCTGTCATGCCCCACTTTCAGACCAAAAGTGGTCGTGTAGCTGAGAGGCAGGGTGCATATCCAGTGAGCAGACCAGTAAGTACCGCTGTGTGCCCAGTACATGGCTTAGACAGAGACTGTAAAAAAATAATCATTGTATAATAAGAATCCCAAAGTTTTGTATTGTTCAGCCATGTTCTTGAAGAGTTTGCAGCTTTTCAGAGTTCAGCAATCATGCAGTAAACAATTACGAAGGAACCTCCTACAGAACTCTAGTCTCTTGTGCTGAGGATTTGTGAGCCCAAGAAACAGATTAACTGGAGGGGGAGGAGGAGAAGTGATTCTTGCAGTGTCTCCATGTTTCCTTGACTGGTTTCTCTAATGTAAGATTATTTCAAATTTAATGAATAAATTAGTTTCTAGTTACTGTTGATGTGGACAGCTATTGCATTTGTAATAATGATTGCCTCTATCAGTGGTCACAAGGCAAGGCAGTATTTAAATCAGGGTTTAACTCACATTTTTTAATACTTTAATTTAAACTACTTTTAAAAGTATTCATGGAAATATTAGGTCCACTACCCTTACTTTTCAGAATTGTCAGCTGATGTTCACCATAGCCCTCAAGAAAGTACCTGAAAATATATTTCCCTTGAAAGCTATTGGCAGTTTTGTGATACATTTACATCGAAGATACCTATTCTAGATTAGTGCAGGAAGACTTTAATTAAACCACTGTTAATTGAAAATTAGGGTGAATTTCACTGACTATCCGTTCATTACTTTCAAGTAATGCATGGACTATCACTTGTTAGCTGCGTTACTTTATTTTGAATAATTACTTCTGTGGAAGTCAGTAAAGCAGAATGATGCTGTGTTCATGTATATGGTTTCAAGCAAATTTAATGCAAAAGTGCTGTCGGCTTAAGAGCCTCAAAAATGTTAAGATATGCTGCTTTTAAAAGTCTCAAGTATCCTGGTTTTTCCCCTCCCTTCCCCGCAAGCATTTTACACTTAATTTTATTGTGTTGCGAGCAACTCTTCCAGTATTGTGTCAGATGTAGAAGTCATTCGTCATGGTTTGCCCTGCAACTTGAAGGGAGTGATGTGTGAAAATGGACTGTCCGTTTCTTGCAAATACTAGGATGACATTCACATTGTCTCATCACTGTCTAGACAAGGGTGCGTAGTGGAAATAAGGAAGAAGCCTGTGGGTAATTTCTAGTGATAAAATGCCATAAGTTCTTCCTGCTGCTGTTCCAGTACCAGTTTGGGAGTGTTAACACTTTTCTTTTGTAATCTGATGTCAGAAAGTCTGTTTTTGTCATTTGATTTCTGTCCCATTTTGTGGGGTGTCTCAAAAGGAAACGGAATGAGGGAGAGGCAGCTGACCACACATTTAAAGAAGTGGATTGGTTTTAGGAGGATCTGAGGCTTTGTTGCAACTCTTGTATGACATATAGGCAAATGATTTAAATTCCCATCCAATCATTTCCTCATTTTTACATGAGACTTCCTATTATCACCTCCTTTCTTGCAGCCTTCGCTGGCCTCATCTGCTGAAATTATACAGTGACCGGGAAGCAAATGGTTTCTGAGTTCTGAATATGAACCTGCCTACAGTCTCAATATAAAATTATCATAGTTGAGGTTTAGTGTAATAGAAAATATAATCACAGGACGTAGATGTTCCATGCTGAGTGATGCCTAGTATGTGTGTATCGTTTCCGTTCTGTTCTGAAAAGCAAGTTTACAAATGCCTTAAACACTTTATTAAAATAAAAATATAAAAGCTGCACTATTGCTTTGTCTTTAAGTTGACATTCCTAGAAACATAGAATGGTGTGGGTTGGAAGGGACTTCAAAGATCACCTAGTTCCAACCCTCCTGCCATGGGCAGGGACACCTCCCGCTAGGTCAAGTTTACCCCTCTTTTATTCAGTCAAGTGGGAACCATGGGCAGATACAATCTGGTGACATGTAGCAAGATTTTGGCAAGGCAGAGATCTAATTTGGGATCTTCAGGGACTGAAAAATCTGGGGACAAAAAAAAAAAAAAGAGGTTCCTAGTGACTGATATAAACATTACTGCTGTGTCTTGCTGTCCTGCCAAGCAGAACATATGGTTCAGTCTTCATGAAAGACAGAAGCATCAGCTGAATTTGAAGCACATCTTAAATAGTTCTCTGTGTGTCGTTTTGGTGTGTTTTTTTAATCAGAACATGGTCTTAATGAACATTCTGCTGAAAAGCTGTAAAGGTGCTTCAAGCTTATGTTCTGAGGGCTGATGAAATGCCAAGCTCCTATCTGAGGAAGTTCCGGGATGAGATTTAGCACGGTAATTATAGGTGCGGTGTTCTGGCTGTACCAGTCTCTGGAGAAAGTTGCCGCTAGAGTTTTGGTCTCATGATCACTTGATACTCAAAAGCAATGTTTGCAAGGGCTCCTTGACCTGTTTTCTGGAATTAAATCCTTTTTGGGTAACTCTGTTTGATCTTTAAGGAATGTATTTGTTCCCGTTTACATTTTTCTTTTCTCAGTCATTTTCCTAGACTGCTGTGCATAGCTGAATGTTTAAATTGATTATACTGTCACACCTTATCCCATCTTAGATGTGATAATATTTTGTCACTAGAATAGGGCCGGTGCTGGAGGCAACTGCTGAGGATGGTGTTGGGGCTAGCCCTGAGGAGCTGTGCAGGTGACCTCATGTAGAAAGGCAGAGGGACGTCCTTTGCCTTTGTGTAGGACTCCCATTCACTTAGTGCTAGTTCTGCATAGCTGGAAGGTATTTAACACACAGCATTATCTTCTTTCTAAAGCGCACAGAATTGAAAGGGGCCGATGTGAATGACAATACTTTAGATACCTGCTAGTTTGCCATTACAAGTTCGTCCTGTACAAAAAACAAATAGTCCTTAGAATTTTATTTTAGACTCAAATGAACATACCTAAAATGTGCATGTCCTGTGCTTTCTTGCCCTTTTTTTTTTTCATGTTAGGAGTTATACATCAGTTTGCAGAAGGTTTGACTGAGTGGTGTTTTGGAGTTGTGAGAAGAATACTCCAGAAGCATTGGCAACATGACCTGACTTGTGTGTTGATGAAAGTTGTTTTACTTGTCAGTAACACTCCCAATGGGAATGCACGCTGTGAGACACTATTCCAAGGATCTGAATAATTTCATGTGTTACTGTACTCTGCTGGGTCACAGCCCAAGACAGTGGGTTGTCTTGTTTTGTGTTTTCAAGCACTGACATGCCTGTTGAGTGTTTATGCAAGCTCAGGTTTTTTTTATTTTTAAACTAAAACATGAAAAATAAACCAAAAGATTACTTGCATAGCACACTAGTATGGTGGGCTTTTTTTTTTCAGTAATTCCACAGTCTAGTTTAGTCAGCTGGTAGTGGTTTAAAAGTATCCTTGGTGTAGGTTTCAATATTCATGATAAAAACCTAAAGACTTATGGAGGCTAAGCATAATTTTCAGTCGAAAATGGACAATTCTTTCTGTGCTCTACTTTCAAAGTACGGGGAAAAGTACTTCTGAGTGAAGTAGCTCTCTGCAACTCAAATGTAGAGCAAAGACCTTTATTTATGATATCTCAGTTCTCTCCAACTTGTAATTGGGAAATTTTGTTTTATTTTGCACTACTTTACAAAGAAACTTGGAAGATAATCTGGTGCTGCAGTTTGTGGCACTCTTCCAGTTTATGTCTGTGCCCCTGACCAACATCAAAATACATTCACCTAGGTTTATTCCATAGTCTAAGAAGCATGGATTGCTGGGAGAGCCCTCCTAATGGGTCACAATCAGGAAGAGCTGTCGTTATGAAACCCTTGTTACTGGTTTGTCTCTCCGGTGACCTAAAATCGCTTGTGGCTTAGGTCTGCAATTCTGTCTGTACACAGCAAGATGAGACATATGTAAAGAAAAACTTGAGTTAGGTTATCTAAAGGGATGGCAGAGGAAGTTATTTCAAAACCTGTTGAAGCCTAAGGGCTTTAGGGTGACATTTTCTGATGTTACTTAAAGTCATTCTGCTCTGACTTGCTGCATCAAACCTGTGTCACGCTGCCTGTCAGAGGGCTGTCGGGCTGACTGCAGAGCTAACTGCAAAGCTCCACGTTCCTATTTCTTGGTTCTACTTTTCTATTTCCCACCTTACAGCTAGGGGGAAAAAAAAAGATGGGGGAAAAGAAGGAAAAAAAAAGAAAAAACGAGAGAGGAAAGGAAGAAGCTAATTTAATGTAGACACCCTTTATACATTAAGCTATCGTAACCTTTTTTTGAGGGTGGTTGTATTTTGTGTAAGTTTACGTGTAAGCACTCGACAGTTAATTTTTTTTTGCATACATTTCATTTGATTGTGTTACATGTCAGCAGTCTGAAGATTAAGAGGTAGGGCCTCAGAATTAATGACATATATGTAAGTAAATATTTTGAAAAATACTTCCTGTCAGCTCGGTCTGAGGAAAATGGACAGTGTGTGTCAAAAACTCCATTTTTTTTCATTGAACGGCTGCAGAGTGAAACAAAATCATGCCTCTATTTAATTATAATCTTTCATGCATGATATTTTAGGAATATACAGGAGTAAAATGTGTGAGAGGAAGTCCCTCTGATTAGTGGCATTCAAAGTTACGTTCACAGCTCAGATGAAACAGGGATTTGGGTTGCATGGGAAGCAGCGTGGACACGAAGTCCCTGATAGCACCCACTGGTTGGGACAGGGAGTTGCTGGGACCAGTTCCTCTTCCTACAGTCACTCTTCCCTGTCTCTGTTCACAACTTCTCCAGAGCTTCAAGCTGCAGTGGTCTGCCGAGGAGAAGTTGTTCCTCTCCTGGTCTTTTGCTTTTCTTCAGTCCCATGTCAGCCATTTAACTTCACCGCATTTTTTATCTTCAAGGGAAGAGAAATGCAGTATCGATGCAGTAGCTGCCAACTTGAGATCAAACTTAATTCTAGCAGTAGTTATTTTTAACAGTACAACATAACAATCCATTATGCTCCAAATAGGTGGGGTTACTGAAAGCTTTATTTCATACTCTTGTGTACAGGCAAACTGACGGGAAGCAGATGTTCCCATAGCGTGCTCTGAAGTTAGGCCAGACACAGTAAGCAACACTTCCTTACAGGTACTTGGATCTGAGTTAACAAAAAAAGCAAATACAGAAATAAAGGAATTGCCTGTTGTTATTTATTTGGTTTTGACTTCGGTGTTTTGGGTTTTTTTAATTGGAGTAATTTCTCTTCCCTTTCAGCAAGGCATCCTGTCAAAACTAGTTGAGTTCTTTAGAAGTTGGTTTCCTTTTCCACAGTATAAGAAAAATGATGACATACTTCACCGACTGGTAAGTGATCACTTTTTTTTTCCTCCTATTTCCTTTCCTAATCCACAAGTCCTCATTTCCTCTGTACTTCATCCTCTGAGCACCATCCTTGGTTGCTTTTGGCTCTAAGAGTTTTATTTATTCTTCAGATAACGTTGATGTGGGTTTTCAGAGTTGCTGTGCCAGGCAAACTGGGCACAGAAGAACAGGAGCGATATCAGTAGCCAGGCTGAAGACGTTAAAAACGTGGAAGAGAAATTAAAACAAAATGTGTGAGGAATTAAAGAAACTCTTGCAAGCTGAAATGAGTTAACCTACAGCGTAGCTCCCCCCTCCAGTGGAAGGCAGTGTGGAGAAAGCCTGTGTGTCGCAGCCAGTTCCTTGCTGACACAGCTCAGGATGGAAGGTTCTAGAGCTTTGTCTGAGTATTGCTTCACCCTCTGCTTTAGCTTGTTAGCTCAGGCACAGCCTCACCTCGGGGCGCCTCTACTGCCCATCCCGGTCTATTTATTTCTGCACTGCTGCCCACAGGGCTTCTGCATTTGGGAAGAGCGAAGCAAACTGAGGCACCTCTGTTAGAATCCCTCAGAAGAGCGTTACGCATTAAGAGCAGACAACACCCGAAGCGCTCTGGCTCTAGGGAGAGGCAGGAGCAGTTCCCTGTACTCCCTGTGCGCTCTCAGCAGGTCACAAGCAGGTTGGGCGTCCATCTGCCTCGCCACAAGTTGCATTCGCCTACTCGTGGAGCCTGCAGGAACTTTTAGGGCCCGAATCAGTCTGTGTGGGGTAGACCTGACAGGTGATAGCTCTACCCCAGGTAATTAAAAATAGTTTTATGCTGCCTTTACACTTGTTCTCTGCAGTTCTGCTTTCTAGCTAGTTCAATCTCTAGCCTGGGCTTGTCTGAGATCTGCTTTAACTTGCACCAGCTGCTTCAGGTTCCTAGACTGGCTTGCAAATGTCACGTTAGTCAGACTGTTCCAGAATACGAAAGTTAGAATTTTGATTTTTTTTTTTTCTGCTGTAATGTAGGGATGATGTCTTCAAATGTAGCTTCAAAAAAAAAAAAAAAAGTTGAACAATACAAGAAGTTAGGGGGTTCCTTTTCTCAGAGAATTCTGCCAAGTCCAATTGCTATCTCTTCTCCCTTATCTCAGGAGGACAAAATTTCCTCTGAAACCTCTTATTAGTGATCTTTGGTTGTCTTTTAATTCTCCCTCTTCCCCTATGAATCAATGGTATTATCTAACAGCTTTTTTTAGCCTGCCTTTCTTGAGGTGGAGATACAACCAGCGAATATGGAAAACATGTTTCTCCTGCTGCATGCTGCAGCAGGGTACTGAAAATGACACAGGATGCGTCGGAGGAGGGCAGAGTTTCCTTTTGCACACAGTCCTGAAACAAATGTTTTCCATTAAAAGTAGAATGCAAGTTACCTCAAGTGACACAAATGTATGGGATTAAACTTTTGACTGGCTATCCTATGGTTTTATAAAGAATCTCATTCTGTCAGTAACAGAACTAAACAGGTTTTGTACTGTGAAATGCCATACTTCTGTTAACAGTTTCTCAGAGGATTTTCAGAAATACTCTCCTTTCCCTCTTGTAATCCAGCTAAATGCAAGGATTCATGTGTTCAGTGTTTGTTGGATTTTGTTATGACATTCTTAACTTGAAGTGTTTTATAATTATTGTTTGGTGCAGTATGCAAATCAAAATCTCAGGGGGCTTCACTGGTGGATGTATTTCTCTTCAAGAGCTGTGTATTTATCTTGAATAACTATAGCTGTAGGGCAAAAATTAGCAAATGCTTATCATGGCATCAAATCCGCACGTCAGTAACTCACTGAAGTTTGCCTGGAGTTTAGCAAGTGTGAGATCTTCAGACCCCCATGCTGCTTCATATTTGGATCAAGTTCCCTTGGGAAAGACACGGAGTCTTTTGCAGGAGAGGACTTCAGTGCCTCAGCTTGGGCCTCGGTCCCGTGCTTTGACCCTACAGTTATTAAATGTCCACAGGTGCCTTTTTCTTGGCTAATTTGTAATATCTCTCTTTCTAATTTTTGTTTGTTCGTTAGTGATGTTAATTAAGTCATTACATTAAAAAATATAAAAGTGTTTGCCATTTTATCAATGATCTTCTAATGGATATAGCACCTCTCTGATTCTTATGCAAATATAGTGGCATAATCGGTGGCGTGTTTCCAGGTGTTGTTACTATCTAGGTCAGATCACAAAGTCATATGATGCATCCTGCAAGTCTAAACTGTTAGGTAGTGTATGAATTTTTAAAACTAAACAAGTTTTATAGAAATGAAGTAGCTACTTGTGATATATCTGAAGCACTCCTGTAGTCTTTGGAAGCAGATTGTTGTTACTAAAGTGTGGAGTGTCTGGGTGTTTTCCTTGTTCTGCTAACTTAATTTTGAGAATTTGCGTATTCTTTACTAATGCCTGTTTTTTCTCCTGCCCGTTTTGTGGTAAGGATGTCGGATTTCGATTTGACACGCTCCGTACCATCCTGCAACAGGAAGTTCTGCTGCAGGAGGATGTGGAACTGATTGAGTTCCTTGACCCCAGTATCCTGCCTGCGGGGCAGTGTAAGCAACAGGAAAACCGACAGCTTCCAACACTACGCTCCCTAGCAACTCCTAATATTTGGTATTGTACAGAAGATATCTACCACTATATTCACTGAGAAACAAGCAAAAAAAAATGTATTGTGTGTTCTTTATATAAAATGCAGCAATAAAGTCACTATTTTTTTCCTCAGGTCTTCGAATCTTTGGTCTGCTAGTCCCCAAATTTTTGTATAAGCATGGTTTTTTTCCTCGAGTATTTTTTCTTTTGAAAGAGTGAGTTTTAATCTGAGATACATACAAGAACATGAATGGATATTTCCAGACCCTAATATATGCTATAAAGGAGAACTAACATGGTTGAATAATTCATGATTTTCTAAAGCTATACAGTGGTAGTTTTGGTAAATGAGACACGATTGTGAAGACTGAATTGAAAAGTGTTTTCTCTGTTGTGGTGTTCATGAAGTATTTTGGGGGGGAGGTGCAGATAATTTTCAGATGTAGACTATCAGAAGAACAGAACGAAGAATATTTAAAGAAGATACAGTCAAGCCAGGAGAGACTGGTGAAGTTTACCCTAAAATCCTGAAGGAGCTAGCTGCAGCAGGGTCTCAATAACTGCCACGTGATTTTGAAAAATATATTTTAATGTTTGATGTACACCTGGTTTTGAAAAATAATGAGGATAGTGGATGTTCTGGCAGAGTGACTTGCTCAGAAACGGATCGGAATCAGTAGGAAAAAAATCTCATATTACAGCCCAGTGCTATATTTTCAGACATATGTTAGGAAAATAGATAAAATTATTATATAGCCACATCAGGTTAAAAAACCCCAACTGTTTAAGTTGTAGTATCTCATTATAGGTGCTCTCTGTAAACATGAGAACCAAATTTTTCCAGTGGGTTTGTCCTGGTCCTAGCACTATTCATTGTTGCCTTAATTGTTCAGATCATAAAGTATACTTATAAAATTTGTCAATATTGCTCAGATGGCACAAAGTTGGTAAAGTGTTTTGGCATAATGGAGTTCAAAAGTAGCTTGGAGGAATACCATGAAATGAAAATGAGTAGAAAAGTCAATAATAGCAAAAGTCTAGTGTTAACACTAGGGAAGGAAAATTCAAGTTAACAAACACAGAGCTGTGAATCAGTTGGGTAGGCAGCACTGCTTCAGAAAAGGATCTGCACGTTGTTGCAGAGCATAAATTGAGTGCATCAGCAAATTATTCAAAAAATGGCAAATCTCATCCTAGTGTCCTTGTTATATGCAGGATGCAGGGGTTTACTTTTCTGTCGGTTTCCTTGAGCCTTGTGTTAGACTGCAGCATCTGGTTTTGGATGCCGCACCTGCAGAGGCACAGGTAATTTAGAGTCAGTCCGGAGCAAAACGAGAAGAAGGATGAGTTTAGAAAATGTAATCTTTCCGAAACATGAGAGTGTGCTGGCCAAAATGGAGAAAAATGAGGTGGAATGACACAGTGTAATGATGTGTAAAAGGTAGTTAATTAGAAGGTGGTGATCAGTCGTGGCTTCTTCTATTCAGAGAAGGAAAGGATATGAGGAAAAAGCACGTGATTAATTTGCCAGTGATTCAGACTGGACTTGGGTTAAATCTTTGGAACTCTAAGGATATTTACGGGTTGGAATAGCTACCTGGGTGGGTTGTGGAGTCTCCATTTTTTAGTTCAGTCTATCCATGAAGATCTGGATTAACCAAAAACTGGAAATGGACAAAGTGAGCTCTTAAATCCCTTCCTGTCGTGCATTGTTGTCATCCATTTTTTGTGTACGTGATTTTTTTTTCTTTTAATGTACCAAAGAAGTTACAGACTTTGTATCTATCCTTTTTAAAGTTATACATATCTGGAATATTTAGCTTACTGAAACCTACCAGTACCCCTGAAAGAGTTAATACTTGTAAAGCTTCTTGAAATATGACCACAAAACTGTCCAGAAAATAGAAACCCGGACATCACGTCTTATTTTAGAAATGGGAAAATATTCCTTTTGAATACTTCTGAAACTAAATACAGGATACGCAGCTTCAAAGGGTGAAGAAAGTGAATATTTTTCTTTCTAAAATTTTTGAAAAAGTAAAATTGTTATGCACCTTAAAGCCATCCATCTCTGTGGGTTATATCTTCATCCATCTCTGTGAAGACCATCATAACTTCACAAAACTGCAACTATAATACTATAGATGAAGCACACTTTGTTTTCTCCTGGTTACTTATTTTTATTGAATTTTTCTAGATAAAAATGACAACTTTATCAAGTTTTTAATATGTCATTGAGAAATAAGTGAACTGAGATACTGGTAGCTGTGTTCTTTAAGGATTTTCTAAAGCTGCCAAATTATTTAAAGTGATTATTCAAGCCATCTTTATAAAGATGTGTTAAAAACTAGTGGTGTGTTGGTGTCCAAGTTAAATGAGTCAGACTCTGGAAAAAATAAAGCTGGCGTTACTTGCGAGTTTTGTTACCAAAAGAAACATGCCCTTCCCTACTGTACTCTTGAACCTGGAAGTACAGATATTCCAATTCCTACCCACCCTGGCTTATAATGCTGAGTAGTCAGGTTTTTTCTTTTTCTATTTTCTTTGCTTTTTTTCCCTTTTTTTTTTGAGTCATATATGTAAGAGAAGCTGACCTTTCTAAGAGTTACATTATTTTTCAACTCGTGCCATAGAAAAGCCGGAGAAATAATATCATATGCATAGATGTCTAAATCTGCCCCTGGGAGCAGTTTTTGGTGTTTACAGCTCCCTTCAGGAAAAAAGCCCCGTAGTAAGATGTAATCTCAAACATAACCAAAAGCTTCATGATTTTCCCACTCGTTTGACCTCAGGACCCTGCGGTTGACGACGCTTTCTCTGTCTGCAGGGATGTCTCGCTGTTTCTTGCCTTTGTAAGTGCACTGCTCATGCTGCCTTCGTGGTGGAAGGAATCCTCGTGGCTGCCGTGGGGACTAGTTCTGCTTGTCTATGCAGTCTTCCGAGTGTGGGGCACATGGAGGACAGCCAAGCTGCAAATGTCCCTGCGAAAATACTGTCTCCAGCTGGAAGAAACGGTGGCAAATAGCCGAGCTTTTACTAATCTCGTGAGGAAAGCTCTCCGGCTCATTCAAGAGACTGAAGTAATTTCCAGAGGATTTACCCTGTGAGTCTTTATTTCACTTTATTTGATACACACACTCATTCAAGCCAGATGTCTTCTAAAACCATCTTGTTGCACCATGTCCCAAGACAAGTGAAATTACTGGAAAACATAATACTTAAAGCTTTTCCTTTACATAAAGTAGCATAATTGCCATTCATACAAAAAGTATGATTTCTAACAATTCAGTGTTAAAACCCCACATCCTGAAGGAGTGTTAAGTCTCACACTCCTTGTATGCCTTTGAAATCTTCTGCTCTGCTAGCAATGAAATACATGAAGAAATGGATTTTGAACCAGTTTGGTTAACTATTTTGGGGAGTCATTTACAGGGTTGTTTGGTTGAGGGAGTTTTGTATCTTACATTACCAAAGCTATGTAAAGAAACTGACCTGCAAGTAGTCATTCATACTTTAGAAACCAAGATGACATGAAAAGCATTCTATTTTTATTTAACAAATAACAGTCTGAAGTCATGAGAACACAGCGATCAGCAAAGACCATCAAAGGTCATTTCCCACCTCAAATAAAGTTTGCATTTGTCTTTTTTCTTGCATACAATTGTTGAGATGTTTAGATTCTTAAATTGTTTGCTGCTGAATTTGTCTCTCCTCCACTTAAGGGATGTGAAAGTGTTCCTGGTTATTTAGCTCTTGTAGCTATTTGGTAATTTTTGCTAATTTGCTATGTGAAGGGACATCAGAAGATGTTCAGTGTGTGCAATGATCCCAGAGCCAACAGACTGCAGCCAGGTGGAGGAGAGGGACAACTGAGTTTATTGGACTGCGTGGATTCGGTGGCCTGGCGTGTTAGAGCCACAAAAGTAAAAGGCCCTGGTAGATGCGGTGCACAGTGCACCCTAATGCCATCGAATTATATAGGTACAGAAACTGGTACCAGTTCTGGTGTGATGGGGCAGAGATCTCAGGAACTGACTATATCGGAGGCCAAAATGAGCCTAACCGGGAAAATATGGGAAAGGCACTCTGGAGTGACTGGTCCAGATGCCCCAGGCATCCTGGGCATAGACTTCCTCAAGAAAGGGTATTATAAGGACCCAAGAGGCTATAGCTGGGCCTTTGGCTTCTGTGCACTCATGCACGTTGCCATGTGTGCTTTTCCCTTGTAACGACCTGTGGTTAGATATGTACCTGTGCCAGTTAAGGTTAAAGGAGATGGGAAACACCAACAGCTAAAATCCAGTCAACTTCTTTCTGAAAACAGTAAAAAAATCCCTTTTGTGCACCAAGAAATTGTTACTTCATGTCCAGACCAACTACTCTGCACTCAGGCACATGTTTTAACGTGCAAGCTTGAAAGTGTAGTCTTAACGTTTTAAATTCATTTTCTAGGTTGAGATACCTTCAGTATGCTTCATTGAAGAAATGTTTCAATCTCCCTTTGGAATGCATAAGCATGTCTTCAGCCTGCCTAGCTATGTGCTTTGTTTTGGTTTGGTTTTTTGCTGAAGAAGCATATAGTTAAGCAATAGGCAGTCTTATCTTTTCAAACGGATTCTTAAAAGGAATTATTGTTAGGGCTTGTCCAAATTACAGATGAGAAAAACATTTGGATTTTTTCCTAAGTTTAAGCAAACGAACTTGTGGTCAATGTCTAAATTGCTGGTGCCTTGTTCTTTTACTACATATCTTAGATAACAGATTAACGAAAAACAGACTGGTCTTTAAGCTGACACTTGATCTAATAGCCTCTTTACTTAAAACTTTGGCAAGCTTTTCAAAAGACTTTGGAGCATGGATGGAGTGGGTGAAGTGTGACTGTGCCAGCATCTTCTTTGGAACAGTTGTCCAATACAAAGAAGTCAGTGCTGTACAGGTTTTGGTTTGGTTTAGCCCTGAGGAAGTTCTGACTCTGAGATGCTGCTGCGCAGGGCACCATGAAATTCTTTGGCTGCGATAGCGCTTCATGTATGATCCAAAAAACTAGCTACCCCTTTTTTCTTCCAGAATTCTGCTACAATAAACCCCAGCAGAGAAAACTTGAGCGTGGTCTCCTGTAATAACCTTGCCAAAGTCTTAATGTTTGTTCAGAAGGAGCCACATGCCAATTGGTTGCATCTCAGAAGTTACTGAGTATCTTCTTGTGTCGTTTCAAAGGAATGGGATTTCAACCGGGTAGTACAGCATCCATGATACATATGCTGCTGTTTTAATACACTGCTAGCTCAGCATACTGTGTGTGGACTGTGCATTAACCATGTTGAGAAAGAAAAGACACTGAAGCTGACATTTGAATGGTGTTAAGTTTGGATTTTGGTTAGCTGTACTTAACTAAACTATGAAGTGGCAAGCCCAGGTCTGCAGCTTTGGCCTGAAGTTCCTTGTGTTCCACCACTGAGGCTTCTCCCTATTGCACCATTCATTGCTGTTTTCTCATGGTATAATTTATGTATGCTTCGAAATATCTATGGCTTTGCTTTGTTCTACCCCATTTTCCCCTTGTTAATTGATGTTTGTCTCTAGATGTTAAATTACTCCTGATGAGGTTTTGGTCAGTTGTCTACCATTTCACTGGTTTGCTACTGTGCCATAGTGAGTGCTAGATGCTTCACCAATTCAAGCATCCATTTGCCTTCATTCCCCTTCCACCCAAAAAACCCCACAGCAACCATTTAGAAAAGTAACTTAGAACCCTGTCAGGCCTCTATTATATTAGCTGCTCTCAAAGGCAACTGGATATTCTGATTTCAGAATGGCCTTCCGAAGTGTTTATCGCTGCTACTGGTGTTTCAGGTATGTCCCTGTGGTACAAGCTCTGTGATGCAGAGATGGCCAAGACCTCACCAGGGTAGTGTGGGTTACAGAAATTGTGCTCTACTGAGGAAGAATGGCGGTGTTTCTGTCTAATTGTTTCATTTGCAGTTAGTCAAATGAAGCCTGATCATCAGTCAAAGAATCACAGAATCACAGAAAGTCAGGGGTTGGAAGGGACCTCAAAAGATCATCTAGTCCAGCCCCCCTGCCAGAGCAGGATCCCCTAGGGCAGCCACACAGGAACGTGTCCAGGCGGGTTTTGAAAGTCTCCAGGGAAGGAGGCTCCACAAATTCCCTGGGCAGCCTGTGCCAGTGCTCTGTCACCCTCACAGTAAAGAAGTTTTTTCTACTATTTTTGTGGAACCTCCTATGTTCCAGCTTGTACCCATTGCCCCTTGTCCTGTCATTGGACATCGCTGAGAAGAGCCTGGCTCCATCCTCCTGACACTCCCCCTTGACATATTTATAAATATTAATGAGGTCACCCCTCAGCCTCCTCTTCTCCAAGCTAAAGAGACCCAGCTCCTTCGCAGCCTAGAATTTCCACTGGGTAATGAAATTATGTCCATTGTCTTGCACATTGCAAAATCAAAACTGTACAAATATGTAATGAAAGGCTGCAGCAATAGGCAGCAGTTATTTCCTTGTCTGTCACTGTAATAATTAGCTTTTCTCCAAAATGCTGCCGTTCTACTGTATTTTAAACTAGAATCAAGCTCTACAAGCATGTCTTGGTGGAACTGCTTTCATGTTGGTGTGCAGTAGTAGGTTTTTATTATGTCTGTACAAGTTTGTTGTTGGGAGCCTATTGCGAGATTAATGGAGAAGTAAGTCACTGTTCTTTAGAAGCGAAATGGGTTTGGAGCGGTAGGAAAGAGGAAATTCACCCTTAACCTTCTTTTCTTCTTGCTGATACGCAAAGTTGGTAACATTTTTAAAGCACAATTAAAATGTATAGAAGACAAATGGAACATTGGGAAGTTAGGGATATGGCACGTCTGGCACACACACATTTATAGCAAGTTACACTAATTTAAGAATAAAGAAGAATTAATTTGTAAAAAACACTGAAACAAGCCTTCCCAGAAGGAAAGGAAATTGTTTTGCTGAATACTGGCAGTACATGCTGTGTATTTGTTCTGAACAGGAGCTTGAAATGCTTACATCTCTGTAGCAGAACATAGATCTTTCTTCTTTATGGTAGAAGAATTTTGCTCCTTTTCTTTGAGTGTGCTTCTGACAATTCACCCAGGGCTTGAGTCTACAGATTGATGTGATAGTTTATCCGTAAATACTTCCAACTGTTACCTTCAAAAGCTAGCGAAATGTGAGAGATTGCCTTGTACTACACTACGTGCTGTGTTCCCTAGTGAAAGGTATGGCAAGACTAGCATTTTAAATTTATGTTTAAAAATTGAAATTAACACAGTTTGTGTTTTATTTTATCCAGATTTTGAAGTACTTTATGAGATGTTATATAAACAATTTTAGCATCAGGTAATTTAATATGGTACACAGATATTTTACTATGGTATTTCAGCTAGCGTATTCAATATACTGCAGTATTTGGCATGAATCTCCTTGTGTTAATCATATTTAACATACTGCTATGGATCCAGCCTGGCTCACTGGGTGGGCTGCATTGCTTTTCATATTTGGCAGTGAAGGCCGTAAGCTGTTTTCCCTTGCAGTCAATGTGGAGCAAGGTCCAGCTTAGCACATGCAGTGGGACCGACATTTTTCCAGCAGGGTCAGGTCTGCTGGCTTAGTCAGCTTTTCCATCGGATGGGCTAGAGAAATAATTACCAGTGCAGCGACCCGCTGCAGTCTGGCCAGGTACCCTGCAGGCACCCTGTCTCTTTTTCCCTTTTAAGTGACCATAGACATGAAACCACCTCGTCACCGTGCCCTAGGAAAGGTGAGAGCAGAAGCAGGCTTCCAGCCCCCAAACCGTTCATGACAGTTCATTGTCCTGTTGTCTACACTACGTCCATCCCTGAGTTGATTCTAGTAAAAACAGCCCCAGCAAGTAGAGTGCACTTAAGCAATTTTCACTCTCTCACTCATAGGTTTGGCATCAGACTGTCTATGAATAGATATAACTGGATGTTAATCTTTGTTTTTTCCTTTTCTATACCTTGGTGTTACACAGACCTGTTTAACACTCACCCAGTTCACAATTAAGTTTATTTCCAGATGAGGCCATTTCTTATGGTTCTAAAGTCATTTGAAGTATATTCTAGTAGAATTATATATTCTGGTAGAATATATATAAATGGTATATGCACCTGAATATGTGGACGCTGAAATATATTTTCAGATAGCTTCATACATTTGATGTGTTTACCTGTCAGACTGCCACAAACACAGCTGACATTCATTGCATGAATATTTCTGTTGACCTAGAAAAGATTCTGCATGGAGAAGACTGAACGAATATAAGTGTTTTGCATGAAAACCATATTTAGCAGCACATTTTTTTTCTGCAAAAATTATTTAAAGAACAAATTTGTGTACAAAGAGGCATATGTGAAATATCTGCATGTTAAACTTCCAAAGCTTAAAGTGGGCTTATGATAGTTTTGAATCAGAGATAATGTTATGGGCTGTGTATGCTTGGTGTATTATTTTGGAGAACTTTTTAGAGAACAAATATCCTCAGGAATTTTGCCATGGTTCAGATGAGAATAAAATCAGGCCGTCCCTCCTGAGGAATCCTGGCTGCTTATTGGAAATTTTGGTTAAATATATCATTGAGATGAAGTTTTTTTCTTCACTCTCATAGTTACTGAGTGCTTTGAAGAAGTTTTTTAAGTAATGGAATAAGAAAACTGATGTACTGTCTTTTAAAAATACTTTAGGACATCTGTACAGTTGTATCACATTTTACTTTTCAAGTTTGCTTGACAGGGTCAGTGCCGCTTGCCCATTTAATAAAGCTGGACAGCATCCTAGTCAGCATCTTATTGGTCTCCGGAAAGCTGTTTATCGATCCGTCAGAGCCAACTTTCGAGCCTCAAGACTGGCTACTCTATACATGCTGAAAAAATATCCTTTTCGTAAAAACCCACAAGTTCGGGTTGTCCTATCTGTAACTGTGCCAGTGTCTAGAGTTGGTATATCTAGAGTCAGATGGTATCTAATTACAGAGACAAAAGGTATCTAAAGAAGATGAAGAAAAGGTAGCATAGAAAATTGGTACTTATGCTTGCTTTGAAACATTCTTGAAATTCTCTTTTTGTAAAAAAATTTTCTTTTTGTGACAAAATTTCTTTTTGTGAAAAAAGATTATTTTGGTGAAAAAGTTTTCTTTTTCTGAGAAAAGTATGTTCAATATGAGATAAGATTCTGTGCACTGGATACATTGTCCCAGTTACAGACACCTATGCTCTTGGTCCAAGTATTGATAATGTGTTTCAGAGTCCTTCAGAATTTTGTTTTACAATCCCTCTTAGCCACCTTCTTCACTTGCACCAAAATACTCCCTTCTCTAACAAGATGGCCTTTTACTCAACATCCCTGTGTTCAAAGGTAAGTTGATTTCCTATTTCAGACAAGCTGGGTGAAACTCTGATTACATTAATTAGCCAAAAGGCGTGTTTAAGAGCAAGGAGTTTCTAGTCTGAATTGAAGCAGAACACTTTGTTCAGATTCCATTTTGTGAAGTGTCATCTGTATTTCTTCAGTGGATTGTATACTTTCTGTAACAGCATCAGCATTTCAAGGGCTTTTTTCTATGTTTATTGACTTACTGTACTATGTAGGAAATAACAATGACTTCACCCTGTATTACAGCAAAAAAATTTTTTAAAATCTGCTCCTGACCTGAAAAAACACAGGCAAGGAAACAAAAAGGTGGTGGTAGTGCAAGTGTTGAAAATCTGACGTGACAAATTTCTTGTTTTGTCTTCCTGGAACATGGTATTTGACTAGCACATCTTGCCTGGCAAATGGATGCATATATTGAGTGACTGAGTGTACACACACAGAGGCACACACAAAGCTACAAGTGCATGCATTCACTTTGAAGAAAATGAGTATTTTTTTGCAAAATAAAAACTTCTGTAGGGATAGGCATCCTCATTCTAGGCACCAGACTTTACTGTCAGCTCTGAGAAATAAGGTGTGTTTGCTGCATAAACAGTGAAAAAAATACTCTGGGTGGCTCAGACACATTGATGAGAATAAGTGATACCTAGCCCAGAAATAATCGAGAATCACTTCTAAGAGCAGGGGAAGAAGGATCTGAAAAGAGAATCAGTTAACAGGGCCTTCCCAAATATTGTCCAGCATGAAGAAAGTCGGGCGGGCAGTGGTGATGACAGACGTGTAGGTCATCGCTGTGGCTGGCGAACACTGGTGTGTACTAGGCTGTCCACTAGTTTTGTAACTACTAAAGGTAAGGAATGGCTTTTAGATTAAGGGATGGGAAAAAGGAAAGTTTTGTTTACTTTGGATAATTTGACTTTTATACCCGTCTTTGAAATATTTTTAAGATGGAAGTTCCATTATAACAAATTATCATGCAGATATCACAGTAGTAAGGGCCCACAGAAATAAATGGTGCAAAATTTATTGGAGTTGTCTGTATATAGATAGGTTCTTGACAACTGGAAAGAGAAGGGTTGTATTTGTGCAGAACACAGTGGCAAAAGCAGTGGTAGCATGTGAGCTGAGCCGCAGACCAGGCCAATTCTGCAGTGCACGAAACCTGAAAGTAGGGAATTTAAATGTAAGGAAGGTGAGTAAAGGATTCTTCCTCCCCACCAAGATAATTAAGAGCAGCTTTAAGGTAGTTCCAAGTTGCCTTAGTTTGAATTTTTCCCTGCATATCGTGAATGCCTGGAAACGTTACGTGTATTACCAGGCTATTGATGGCAGGGAACATCTTTCAAGTAGATTCTAGTGCCTTATGCAATTAAATAGTACCCTTACGCTGGAGGGGCCAGAGATTCCTTAATTTCCAAAGCATTCACAGCTGCCACTTGTGACAACTTTAATGTCCTTGTCCGTCATCAGATTGTTAGCACAAATTTGGCCTACAGCAAGGAGGAAGAGGAACTGCAGAGATTAAATAAAAGAGTGAGGTAATATACT